TCGAAATATCCTCGTATGATCTGCTCCAACCCCATATATACCCCCACCCACACACATATGGTTAAGCACATTGTAATTATCCGATTGTTATCTTAAAAGATCTGCTCCAACCCCATATATACCCCCACCCACACACATATGGTTAAGCACATTGTAATTATCCGATTGTTATCTTAAAAGATCTGCTCCAACCCCAGATATAAAATTAACGTCATGAAAGGGTTGATTCATGTTTTTAATAAATATTTTGCATTTTTGTGAATTTGATAAAAATACCGCAATAACGCCCAAGCCTTGACAATTGATCAATGCAACAGGGTGTCCCCTTGTTTATTGTATATTAAAGATAATGAAAAAGTATTTTTATGTTTAAATATAATGTTTACAATGCAACAGAGACATTAGATAGATCTTTATTTTAACGTAAATTGTTTCGCATGAAAGTTTATTGCGACACCCCCTGTATCAAATTCCTAATCATGAAACAATAGAGAAAAATATAAAATATCGCAAATCTAAAAATAGAAATAAATTGATTCTGAATCCTGGAATTATAGATTGTATTTTAACTAAATTATTGATATCAACCAATAATCAAACCCACGACCGTCTCGACCTTATTCTTTTTTATTTAAATTTAAAAATATTGAAGTTCTTAAAGGGACTGTTCTTGTAAATTCAAATGATTTTCTATTTCAAGAGGGGCATATGCCCATTTACAAGTTACAACAGTGCAGCCTTTAAACTTTTATCTGAAACTACGGCGATAGACTCTTTAGAGAACAAAATTTTTGATTAATTTTATATGTTTTTATAGTTTGATTCTATGTTTATGAATTATATCAGAGATACCGGTAATCTATATATTTATCTATATTTCTATCTATCCATCTGTGTATCGAATATATGTCTATCTGTCTATTTATCCACTTGGCTATCTATATATCTGCATGTCTATCTATATATATATCTATTAGTATATCCTTCTATCCATCAATCTGTAGATTTATCTATCTTTTTATCAATCTATCTGTATATCTGTCTAATCTGTCTATCTAGCTGTCTATTTGTCTATTTGTCTAATCTGTCCCTATGTCTAGCTGTAAATATAATCTATCTAATCTGTCTATCTGTATAATCTACACATCTGTCCATATATATAATCTGTCTATCTGTCTTTATATATAATCCGTCTATCTGTCTAATCTGTATGATATGTCTATCTGTCTTTATATCTAATCTGGCTATCTGTTCAATCTGTCTATCTGTCAAATCTGTCTATCTGTCCAAGCCAACCTGTCTATCTGTCCAATCTGTCAAATCTATCTAATCTGTCTATCAGGCTAATCTGTCTGTCTTTATATCAGTCTATCTGTCTATCTATCTATCTATCTCCCTGTCTCCCTTGTGTCTGTATGTCTGCCTATCTGTCTGTATGTCTGCCTATGTGTCTGTTTGCGTGACTACTTTATGTATGATTAGTTTCTACCTAATGTCTATCATATATTCGCTTCAAGTGCATTGGTGCATCCTAGAATAGATTTGGATTCTCATTTTTCATTAAATATTTATGTACGCCTTACAGTGTACAACACAATCATTTTCATTAAATATTTATGTACGCCTTACAGTGTACAACGCAATCATTTTCACAGTGGTCCGTAGATTTCAAGTATTTTGTCAATTACCTCCTTAAAGCTAGAAGTAGTTGTTTTTTAGTTCGTTTTTGAAATGTACGTGTCTTGGGCTACAGAAAGTGAAAGTCAGTTAGTAAGATAATATAAAAGGCTCAGGCATTGCGACACTTCAAGTTAGACTAAGTCTTGAAAACTGAAGCAACCTTTAATGGCAGTTTGGATCTATGGGATATATACAAGAATATTGCATGTTGCAGTCAGCGCACCTTTGCAACAGAAGGATTTTATAAGTTTTTCATAAATGAATAAGCATTAAAAAGTTGTTTTATTTAAATTTAAAATTCAAATTGTTGTTGTGTACAGTACAGAGATTAGTTATTAGTGGTTCTTTTTTAAAGTCACATCTTTGGTGAAAACCCATCTTTATACGATTTTTACCTTGAAAAAAGCCTCTTTCTTTGAGACCAGAGCATTCCCTTTTTTAGAGTCAAATTTAGGGGATCAGAGTTTGAAGAATCCTCTGACCTCTCGCCAACAGAGTTGAGGTTAGCTGACCTCTGGCCGATGTTCTGAAGTCTAGATTTTGAATATAATATGCTAATCAAATATAAATGGGAAATAAAAAGAAAATCCACGAAAGAAATTTTGACCAAAGTTTGCGAAGTTTTCAACAAAAGTTTTATATTTTCACCACAAAGAATTGGAAAGGTGAGTATGATAAATAATGTAATTATGCGGAAGTTTGACCTAAAAACTTAATCAAACAAGTTAAAAGAATAAAAGGTGAGCAAACTTACTGGGTGGTTTTTTAAAAAAAAACACTTAAAAATAAATTTAATGTAATTGGATATTAATTTTCCTTGGTATTCTAGACTCTGCTACTCTGGGTATTCTTGCATGGTTTCCTATGTTTCCGAACTCTGCTCCAGAATTTCCCAATTTTCCTATCTCTGCCCTTTTGTCCAGAGGATCCTGCATAAAGAGATTTTCAATTGATTTTAAATCAGTTTTGAAAACCAGAGATTGGACAATGTTCGGATAAAGTCCATTACTCAATTTTATCATTTTGTTATTAAATAAAATACGACAAAAATAGATCGGGTCGCTGGACATTTATGGCGAAAATAAATTCTACAATTGTCTTTTTAAAGATTAAATACAAAATTAGAAATAAAAAGCACATGAACTCAAAAATGCCCAAAACAAATACAAATAGGATTGCACAGCAAAATTCTAACAACGACAATTAGAAAATGAATATTTGGGACAAAAGTCAAAATACGGATCAGTGTGTTTCAATTAACATGAAACATGCCTCCCTGTTTAGGCTAAAACTGCCTGAAAACTGCCTGAATGCACTATTTTACCAATACTAGACAAAATCTATATTTGGACCTACTTCCAATAATTTTATTTCATTATTTTATAGATCTTTGAAAACAGAAGGGCGCAAATTGCAATATTTTTGCAAAAACATTTTGCATAGATGTTTGCACAGACGTTTTTAATGGGATTTGCAAGTTTTGAAAATATTTTTGCATTTTCAAATCCTCTGGGTCATGAGCTTTTCAAAAATGTGTCAATTGTCATATTTCGCGAAATTTAGTTTTTTTTCACATTTTTTGCTAAATAAGTGGGTTTCGTAATAAATAAATGGATTTTTCAAATTTCTTATATAAATCCTCATGTTTTTTGGGACACACTGTACCTGTTGGTTCCGATTCATCTCTAGCTGTGTAGCAGATCGTTTTGTCAATCCATATCTAGATTAGAGAACATTGCTTTATATAAATAAATGACAGGATGAATAAATAAATGACTGAATGAATAAATAAATGACAGGATGAATAAATAAATGACTGAATGAATAAATAAATGACAGAATGGATAAGTAAATGACTGAATGAGTAAAAAAATGACTGAATGAATATTCCTGTATAAATCTCGACTTCTCTCCTGATTTCTTTGTCTCAAAATAACATTATTTTCCAAACTATAAAATAAAATAAATGTAAAATCTTTATCAGAATAACGTTGAGAATCTCCTTAGAGGGAGGACCGTCGATGAAGAAGTAATTTTTAGTAACCCTCCATTTAGAAGTTGTCAAGTACTTTTCACATCGGTAAAATAATTTTTAACAAATTTTAATAAAAAAATTATTAATCCACATCTCTTTTTATAGAGAAATGACAATTGGAAATAATACATTTTTTGATAACAAAATTGGGATATGAAATTATAGTGATTATCCCTTTAAAATAATTTTTTTGTAATATTTTTTTGGTTCAAGTCAGAATCGTACCCTGTACCCTGACACCCTGTACATATATACGGTATATACGGACCCTGCTGTGAAAAATGTATAAGTAAGAAATCTTACCATTTTGTTTCTGGATTAGTTTCCAGTACGCCATTCCTGGATCCAATGTAGTTTCTGGCACGGGACAGCTGATCCGCCCTCTCCACCCCACTGCTCGAGTCTACACTATCTTCCGCCTCAAGTTTATTGCGTAGTTTTTCCTCCGCCGCAGAACTTTGGATAAACTCGTAGGATTCTGATTTACTAAAATCTAGATTATTAATCGATTCAACTCGTTCGAACTTGGTTGGAGAACTATAGCTGGGGTTCGAAATATCCTCGTATTTATGTGGCGACACTATTTCGTATCGATCCGGGCTCGAATACACTTTCTTGTTTGGAGTTTCCAAACCTGGGTTTGGTTTTAATTTTATAGGAGTTAGATAGTCACGGGTATCACTTGCGTAGTCACTTTTTAGACTTGAGTAGTCTTTACTCAGGCTAGAGTAGTCTCTAGTCAGGGTAGATCCGGATCTGATTGGACTAGTGTAGTCCTTGTTAACCGGCAGTATAGTCCTGCTGGGGGTAAATCGTCCGCTGGTCAGACTGGACGATCTGGAGGAGGATTCTAGGTCCGGGCGACGGGAGAGAGAGGATTGAAGGTTGGATCGTCTGGCAGGAGAGTTTGATGAATTGATAGATTGATATGTATTCTCTTGTTTTATTTCCTGCAAAACATCTTCATCAAAATACATTTCGTTTTCCCTTCTCTTTCCTACTCTTTCCTTATCCATTTCTACCATTGTCACCATTTTTACCCCTTCCCTGTCCATTTCCTCCATCTTTTCCCCTCATTTTTCCCTTCCCTTTCATTATTGATAATCCAAATCTTTCCCCTTCCTTTCCCTTTCCTATTCCTATTGCTTTCTACTTCCTTTCCCGTTCCTTTCCCCTTCCTTTCCTCATCCTTTCTCCTTCCTTTTACCTTCCTTTCCCCTTTCTTTCACCTTCCATTCCCCTTTCTTTCCCCTTCCTTTCCTCTTCCTTTCCCCTTCCATTCCTTTTCCTTTCCCCTTCCTTTCCTCTTCCTTTCCCACTCCTTTCCCTTCAAATTCCCCTTCTTTTTACCTTTCACTTTCCTCTTTCTTTTGCCTTCCTTTTCCTTTCATTTTCCCTTCTTTTCCCTCTCCTTTCCTCTTCTTTTCCCTCTCCTTTCCTCTTCCTTTCCTCTTCCTTTTCATTTTTTCCCCTTCCGACCCCTCTATTTCCACTAGTATGTTTTGACGTTACCCCTCTAACAACATCTCTCCTTCATCCAACGCATTCTTGGTCCATGCAGTGCTGAAAATTAATAATTGTAATTATATAGCAATAATAATAATGATAACTATAATAAAAATAATCATGATAACAACAATGAGAATAATAATAACAATATATAGTAATAATAATAATAATAATTGTAATTATAACACTAACATTGGTGATAATAATGATAATTATAATAATAACAATAATAATATTATTTTTCACAAAAGTTAATTTTTTTTTAAGTTTCTCTTTAAAAATTCGGATCTCACCTGAAACGGGTTGTCTTGTGTTCCATGCAGATGTTACTGAAGAAGGTGGGGTTTCATCCTGACTCTGGAATCTGTCAGAGCGTTCCCTGAACCCTGCAGGACTATTCCAGCCACTGCTGGATACGTTCCGTCCGTAAATAGCGTTCCTTGTTGATATAACAGGGTTCCCACTACTCACTACACTCTTCCCGGAACATATTGAACCGTTCCTAGAACTCACTTGTTCAGATTTAGGTGCTAGCACACTTTGCTTGGAACCTGGAATGTTTACGGGAGAGTTCCTGGCTAACGGGGAACCATTCCTAGCTGTCACGGGAGCGTTCCTGGTTGCGGAATTAACGTTCCTAGGGATATTAGACTGGTTCCATCTGCGCTGCTGGGCTTGGTTCCTGGTTCCAAGCTGCGGGGAAAGGAACCCGTATGAGGGATCCCAGTCAGAACCTTGTCTGAAACAAGAATTAAAATGAGAAAAAAATCCGTTGGAAATGTTTAAGATGTTACCTTGTAATCCCGGGAGGAGTACTCACTCGTTGCTCCGGACTTCGGAGCCTTGATCCATAAACCCGCCAACCCGGCCCACTCCGGTCCTCATCTACACCCTTCGGACTATTCGTCCGGCTTCCGGCCACCAGACGATTCGGCTGCGGCCGCTGATTATAAACAGAGGGTCGTGTTGATTCTACGGGTTTCCGGAGCAAATCCTAGAAATATGTATATTCTTTATCCAATCTCCAAACATAAATAAACCAATCAATCTAATCCCCACCATCCATCCAACCATCCGTCCTATCCTATTTGTATCCATCCATTCGTATCCATCTCTTCGTGCGTAGGTATTTCTGTGCAAGAAGTTGAAAAATGCGCATCTTTTGTTACGCTATTAAGAAGATGTTTGGCCCGACTCATTAGATACTTTGAAGTGGTGTTCATCAATGATAAAAATCTATATTCTTCATTCATCATCTTCATATTTTCTATCCTACCCACTCAAACTTTCTGACACTATCCCCTTTTAAGTTTCTAAATTCTTGTCTTTAATCCTTTTCATTTTTGGTTTTGTTTTCTATCCTTTATTTTCTCCTTTTTATAAAGTTTATTCCCCTGACGTTGCTTAAAATTGAATCTTTCTTTAATACGCTAGTTTTCTCATACCCCCATTTATCTATCTTCTTAACCTTGTTTCAGAATTAGAAACTTTTTAAAATGATTTCATTCTCTCATCATGAATAGATTACCTGACGACTTAAAGAGTTTGATAATTGAGAAATTGGTTAAAGGGACTGTGAGCATATGCTTTTAATGGACCTTCCATGCATAGAAAGCAATGCCTGATTTACAATGGTACCTTTGAAACCTTAATCTGGTCAAAAATGTGGAAGATAAAGCTTTTTTTAATCAAAAGGTGGCTAATTCTGATAATAGCCCCGTTGTTTATTACAAGCAAGAAATGCGCAAGTTACTTTTCACGAGAAACTATAGATAAAATTAAACAGTTTAAAGGAACAAAAGCCTGAACATCTAATAATCTAATTCATTTTTGATCAGACAAAGCTTTCAAGGGTAACGATGTTATTGGGGTATTGCTTTTGTTGCATGAAGGGGTCATGCATTTGAAATCTTGCTAACAGTCCCAATTTAATCCGATCTTCAATCCAAAATTTTATGGATTCGATTGGACAATGCATTGATTGCCTTCTCCCTCTTAAATAAAAAACTATTTAATAAGTATAACTCATTCAGTCCAATTGAAAATGTCCCGCTCTGAATCGGTTTTTAATTTCTAGTTTTTTCTAATTCCTTTCTAAACATCATTTTTTCCTACTTTTACCTTGAATTGGGATGAAAGTGCAAAACCTCGATCTAGTGTTTCCATTTTCTCTTTTTCACTTTCTCTTCACCTTCACTTTTTCCATTGTCTTCACTTTCAATCGTATATTTTCATTTTTAATAACTTTTATTTATTTTATTACATCTTCACGTGGTTTTCTGTAATTATGATATTAAGTTATGTTCTCTTTTATTTTGTATAAACCAGATTAATAAAATTAGATATGGGCATTATAACATTTATTTGAACTTACGTATATATTTACTTAACAAAACAGAGGAAAAAAAGATACAAATACTTTTGGAGGGAAATTAAAAAGTAAGAAAAAGAAAAGTATTAAAAGTAAAAAAGTGTTAAAACTCTGATTTTCTACTCCCTCTGTTAGGAAATCATGGTCGTAGACCTTGGATATTTCAAACTATGAAGTGTGTTAGATCAAATAATCTAAATTTTTTAAAATTCAAAGGTTTAAACCATCAGGTTGTAAAGACAGAGGTATTATACAAATTTGAGTTTGTGGCAGACTCAATTTCTTTTTTAGAAATTGGAAAAAAAACATTATATTTAATTTATTTGTAAATAAAGAGAGATAACCAAAGAGAATAGAATATATATTAGAGGGGAATTTTCTAGAATAAAGTGTAAAACGGCCATTTTGTTGTACTGTTTCCATACTGCAGGTGTACTACACATATTTGGGCCCTGGAACATCATTTTATAGAAAATCTAAAATTAATACTAAAAGAAAACGAAATTATGAAATAGGTTTCATAATTGACCAATGATCATTTCACTCTTTGCCTTTCACTTTACAAACGATGATTTTCCGTTATAACTATAAATCGAATGATGTTTTTTTTTCAGCTAATTCATTTTATAAAGTTTATTTAACACCTTAAAAAATTCGAAATTGAAACATACTGTATGTACTCTACTGCATATAATTTGTTAACATTTACATGATTTGTACACTTTGAACTCCCTTTCAGGCTGAAAGGGACTGACAAAATTCATACCGAGGGATTGTCTAAATTCCGCTCTAATATATATTTTTTTCTCTTTGGAGATAACGCAAGAAAAATTATGAAAAACAAATATTATTTAAAGAACTACAGAGCTATAAATTACTTAATTAAACATTATCAGATCGATGAAAATTGATTGAAATCAAAAATAAAACGAAAAAATTACAACTATTTGATAAATTTCTAAAAATAACTCCCATCCCTAGCTGTACTTGGTTATGTTATAAAGTGTGCTGGTCCACTATAATTAAGTTAAATCAATAAAATTAATTAAACTTTTATTTCGCGTGGTAAAACCATAATAATTCTAGACTTTAATTAGAAATTATTCATGAAAATCAAAACAAAAATCACATAGATACATATATAGATATATAGATAGATAGATGGATAAATAGATAGATAGATAGATAGATAGATACATAGATAGATAGATAGCTAGATAAATAGATAGATAGATAGATAGATAGATAGATAGATAGATATATAGATAGATAGATAGATAGATAGATAAATAGATAGATAGATAGATAGATAGATAGATAGATAGTTAGATAGATAGATAGATAGATAGATAGATAGATAGTAAATGTTGGGGGAATTGGTCTCCTTTAAATAAAAATAAAAATGTTATAACATAAAAATTCCTAATTTTCTGAAGGGGAGTATGTTCAAAGCCCAAAAAACTTCCGCTGTGTGACTTCTCTGTAGGTAACCCCATCAATAGGCGAATGGCTTTCTTTTGCAATGATTCTATCTTATCAATATTTTTGTTAGAAGTATAGAATTAAAAATGTTGAACTAAATTCCAAATGAAAGTGGAAAAAGGAGTAATAAAGTAGTTGCATGGTTTCAAAGTCATATTCCCAAGAATCTAGCTGAATCTGTTTTTTATGCGTTCAATTTTTCGTGTAGATTCTCCTAGTTTAAAGAAAACATCGGGATAGTCGTTTTATGCATTTAGAGAATTTGAAAATAAGATTGCATTAGTTTTCTCAAAGTTAATAGTAAGTTTGTGGCAAAGGCTCAATTCCTTAGCTAACTGAAACCAGAAAACTCAAGATACAGCAATACTGAAAAACAGAATTCACTCAAATAATTACAATGTCTCAAAAATACTAGTTTCGACAAATTTTAACTTTTTTTCAAAATTATCAGAATCAGGGACAGTCAACAGAAGGAAAAGAAAAAAAGGAAGAAGATGGAAACGATGACAAGAATTGCAAATCAGAATTTTTCTGTATCAATTGTATCCAATTAATAAAATTTTAAAAAATTCAACCAAAAAATTGTTTAAAAAATTAAATTCAAGATAACCCATGAAGGATTAGACTTATATGACGTCACGGAAATCAAAACAGTTGCTGATAAGCCTTAATATTAAAACGTTCCAAATTTTTGAAAACTAAATATAAATCTAAATCCCGACATTGTAAATCTTTAAAGTTTAAATCTGAGAATTTCCACAAAATTTGTCATTTGAATAAATGTGTTTATCAAATATTTATAAACATCAGCAACTATTTCATTTATTCGAATATAAACATTTATTATTTACATTTTAATAATTAAATTATACATTTCTTTGTGAAAATACCAACAAAAAGCGAAATTATTGTGTCTCATTTGTTCTTTCTATTAAACTAATAAGAAATTTCGCGTTCAAATGTTGCTCTTTAAGTTGCCTTTCTTCTCTTCATAATTGTAAAATTAAAGTTTCTAAAAAAAATGTCCACATTTTTTTCGGTTTGAAATTTCAAAACTTCAGCACGATCGGTTCAGCCATTAAGACGCTAAAATAAGTTACAATTTTCAAAAAAGATGTGTGAAAAGGCATGCGACTTATATCAAAGATATACATAATATTTAAGTCAGTTCCCAGTTCTCATGGTTATGTGGGATACCCTGTAAAAACGCATAAATGTCTCCGAGATTTGAATATTTATAAACGAGGAACTGAAAATTGAAAATGTCGAATAATATTTAGAATAGACACAACAGTGGCTCAGTAATTTGCAAGCAATACAAATGTAGAATTTTTGCAAGCAATGCAATTGGCATTTTACACGATGGTACTTTAAAAAGTTGCATTTTTAAGGGATTGGTCACTAAAAGTTAAATAAACCTTTTTTAAAGAATGGAAATACTTTTATATCAATCCGATGTTTCTGAACGAGAATTCTCCGTAAAACGTTCTCCATGGACCTAGGTTGCACTGACAGGACAATGCCATGTTATATTTACTAAACAATCCCTTTAAGCATTGTGTCATAGTATTCTAATGTTCCACAAAATATCTTCTGATATGATTTTTCTTATCTCCCCCCTCTCCCACCCTCTCTGAAAATTTGGCATCGTAAAACATAATTGCTTAATTTAATTGTAACAGAGACAAGAATTGAACTTTGGCCGCATTATTTGCGAGAATTAGTAAAAAACTGACATATCTTGATTTTATTTAAACAAAACTTTTTATCTTTTGCATAAAACTGTGAAAACATTAAAATTGAATCCTTTTATTTGTAATTATATAATGTATATATTTTAAAGCCGAAAGCTAAAAAAGGGTGCTAAAAAACTCTCATTCTATCTATCTATCTATCTATCTATCTATCTATCTATCTATCTATCTATCTATCTATATCTATATCTGATAATTAAACTGCCAAACTAAGTGCTTGCTGATTCTATCTTTGTTTGTTCTGCATTATATCAACGAGACACCTAACTATATAAATATAGAGAGTTCCAAAAAAAAAATTATCTTATGACAATTTTTTTACAGATGCTTTTTTATTTTTTTTTTTTTTAATTATCATTAATTTGTTTCAATTTTATGTGAAACAATGTAATCCAAGAGTTTTTTTTGGAAAAAAGTCGAATTTCTGTTTTTTGGGACACATTGCAATATCATTTGATATCAGTAGACTTTGTATTGTACGATAATGAATTATTATAAAACTGACTAGGTGGTAGGGTGTCACTATAAAGGACATTTTAATTTTAACCGTTTTAAATCTTCATGTGCAGTTAAATGCAATATCTTTAAGAATTCAATAAAAAACAATTTTAAGAAAAACGATTTTTCAATATAAATAAATACATTTTTAAGGACACTCCTTTTTCAGATAGTAACGTTTTTGCTATGCTTTTAGCACATGCATGGTCTTATCTTGATTTTTGCAATTTGGTAAATAAAATGTAAGCACAGGCTAATTGGTCTAATTTTACTTTGTTTAAAGTGCGCCAATTGTAAATTATGCAATAAAAGGTTTTCATTTAAGTTTCAAACAGTTTGAAATTGTCTTCCCCCCCCCCCCCATTACATTTTTTGGGGCTGAATAAATCGGACTTCAACGTAAAATTTTTCTTTCTTTTTAAACATTTATTTCATTTATTTTCCCCATTGTTTCCCCATTTTTTTTATTAACACGGAAAATGAACTCTATATCTATTAAATTGGTCAAAAATATATAAATGAATTCAATTTGATTAATTTAAAAGGGTGGTAGAGCTGCGATAGTTGATATTGAATAAATCAAAATTAATTGATCGACTTTGACTAATTATTCTTAAAAGAAACCTTAAGAATAAAAGAAACTTCTGACTAACAAATATTTTTTATTTAAAAGCAAAAAAGAAATTTATATTTCGAAGAAAAAATGGAATTTCAAATTTTTTACAAGTTTTGTTAAAATTACTTAAGTTTTACAAAACTTAAAATTACAATTTTTCAAAATAAAATGTTTTTTTTTATTACTTTATTCCAATGATATGATATATTTATTTATATATTTGAAAATACCTAAATGCTTCTAATTATTGCTATTTGTAGTTTATGTTTGAAAATGATTAGAAAATAGAAAACGGCAGAAAGTAAATGATAAATGGGTTTTCATGGAAATGAAAATTATTTTAACGGATTTTTATTGAAGATAGGGGAGGAGGGAGGGAAAGAGGGAAGGAGAGAAAAGGGGTGATGAGGGAAGGAGGAAGGAAGAAAGGAGGTTAGAATATAGGAGGGGGGGGGGGCCAGCATTTTTTTATTCGTATTTAATTGATTGAAAGACAAAGATTAAAAAGTAAATTGAATATATTACGAATACATTAAACGA